GCAGGGAAGGGACCGGACCCTTGGCAAGGGAATCCCTGCGGGCTGGCCGTGGCGCGGGCACCCGGGCTCCTGTCGCGATGCCGCTGTCGCGATGCCGCTGTCGCGATGCCGCTGTCGCGATGCCGCTGTCGCGACATCGCCGCTGTCGCCGCCGCGCGCCCCGGGTGCAGCGGGGCCGCCAGAGGGCGCTGTGCCCGCGCTGTCCCGGTCACCGGGGCGCTGCGACCGGAGCGACCGCCGTTAATTACACCCTTAATTACGCCATTAATTACACCATTCATTAATGACACCGTTAATTAATTACAACAGCGGCCTCGGCTGCACCAGGCTGCCCAGGACACTGACTGCTCCCATAGCCTTACCTGTGTTTGTAATGGCTGTATCACATTGCTGTTACCGTGCTTTAAATGTCACATAAAATCACTAAATGTCACACAAAATCACAGAATGGCTTGGTTTGGAAGGGGCCTTAAAGCTCATCCCACTCCAGCCCCTGCCACGGACAACTTCTGCTAACCCAGGCTGCTCCAAGCCCCGTCCAAGCTGGCCTGGGCACTTCCCGGGATGGGACAACGTTCCCAGGGATGGTGCACACCCATTTATTTCTTTGATTTGTCATAGACTTCATGTTTTAATCATAAAGTGAAGTTACCAACACTTTAGGAAAATGTAAGACAATTATAAGGAACAATTTTTTAGGGAAATATGAAACTTTTATTGTAATTAGAGGATCAGATTAATTTAGGCCTTTTTGTCTCAATGTTTATGTGTCCATACACAAACAAGCCAACCCCCTGTGAGTCCCCAGAGAGAAAACAGACAGGTGTGTACACATTAATGCAACAGAACTGCCCCTGTTTATTAACCAGATAGTGCTGGGGCAGTGGTCCTAAGTAAAACTACAAAAGTACAAGCCAAGGAGACTTGAAAAGTAATTCAAATTTTCCATGCATGTCACATTTGGAAATACTGAATCCTGTGAGTTCAGCCACTGTCCCAGTTGTGTTGAGGTTTTAGAAGATACTCTTTGCTTCTGTTGGCAGGTCTCTTAGCTTCCCTCCTCAGCTATAACACCAGGAACTAAAAACTCCAGCACAGATAGATGCACAAAGAGGGAAAAATAATCATGTGCTTGGAGCTGGGATGTGCATTTACAGTCGAGTCTCACTGTAACCCCCTCAGAGGCTCAGAGGCAATGCTCTGTGCAGGGGGTTGCTGGGGCTCTGCAGTTTGTTGTGTTACAGCAGTGAAAGTGCCTGGTCAGTGTATCCATAGCTGGGGAGAATCCACTTCTATGCACATCACTGCACATTGTGAAGATGTAAGTAACATCTAAAATTAAAAAAATACAAACTAGAAAGGGGTGGGGTGGGGCCACAGGCAAATGTTGGCATACATATTGCTTGCATTAGGAGCAGGAGAATTATTGTCTCTGCGAGTCAGCCTGGTGCAAAGGATCACAGCAACAGGCCCAGCTACTGAGTTGTCAGCTCTTGCTTTTATAAACAGAGCTCTGGTTTACGGCAGCCTTTCTAAAAGTCAGTTTAGTCTGGATCTTCTTGAGAAGGCTGGGCTGCTCTGCTGGTTGGCTGCCTGTAATCTGGTCCATTTAGAAAACAAAAAAACCCTACTTTATTCGGGATTTAAACAACAAAGTTATGATTAACCTGATTATGGCAGAACTCTGGTGATGCTGAAGCACTAAATGTGTAATGTTGTTGCAGCTTTGCTGTAAAATGATCTTTGTGCATCGTTGGCTCACAGTGATGGATGCTGAGTGGCTGAATTTGGGAAGGGTTTTTGTGAAGCACGCTGAGATCTTGGAGGAGACATACTGGCATTTTTTTATGTTCCATTAGGTCTGAGACACATCAGAGTGCGTTTTATTTTTTCCCTGTAAATATTATAATGGTGCCAGCAATGCAGTATTTACTGCTTTTCATATGCGTGAGAATACTAAACATATGTATTTCTAAAGGAAATTCCAGAAGAATGTGAAACTAGCTTGTAGCAATAATTTGTAGGTTTGTGTCCATTGTTTTCAGGAATATGTAAATTGTTACATTATAGAACTCACTTTGAACCCTGCTGCATAATTAGCTGCACTAAACATCAGTATTCAATTTGGGAAATCTGTAGCCAAGTGTTTTATTAGAATTTCGTGGAAAAGGGGAATGTGAACAAAACCATAGAGCAAATGATCTGAAATGCAGTTAAAAATAATGAAAACCAAGCACCAGCCACATAAACACACCAGATGAAGACACAGCAAATGAAGATCATAAAAAACAAACTGGAATAAAAACACAAAAAGCCATTCCTCAGCTGAAGTAGATGGGGACATCTGCACCAGGAGTGAGGGAAGCGTGGTCATTGGTGTTTGCTGAGGGGCTGCTCTGTGGATTTTGTTAAAAGGCTCCTGGTCAGGAGGAAATGACATTAACAGTGGTGGGGTTTTGGGCAGCAGGGCTCCTGCAGAGATTGGTGTTGTGACAAATGTCCTCCTACAAATCCAGCTGATTTCAGCTTGTCCCAGCGTGCTCCACCCTGCTGTGGGGCCAGCACTGGGGACAGGGACCTGCTGCAGTGTTCCAGCCCTGTGCTGAGCTGCAGGAGCTGCCGTGGCACGCCCCTCTGCCGAGGCTGGGCACACAGCCACTGCTGCCTGCCTGGCAGCCTGGACACCCCACAGAGCACAGGACAGCTGCATGTGCTGGGGAGGATCCTCCAAGCACTCAGTGGGTGTGATCACAACCCCCCAAAACGCCAGGGAAATCAGGCCAGGAGCTAGTAGAGTTACAATGCCTGGGATGTCATGCACTCACCTGTACAAACCCAGGTATTTGCATCTCCTTGCCTTGTGCTCCAGCTGCCCCAGCTGTGACATCCATGGTGCACCATCGCTGCCCTGTGCAGGGCTCCAAGCCCCAAGCATTTTGAAGGCCTGGTGTGAAACCCACTTTGGCTTTGTCTCAGCACAGTTCTTTCTAACACAAATAAAACCCAGGGTGCTCGAATTGTTGGCTCAGGCAACTCCATCTGCCCATCTGGTTTTGTGTCTTACTGCTCTCACTGCCATGTGTGTCAGTTCCCTCATGCCTCTCCTTACGAGCACGTTCAAGAGATCTTCCTCTGCCTCCTTCCAGACTTTCCTTTAAACATGTGCACAGAAAATACAAATTCTGACCAACTTCATAAAGATCTGGGAAAGAAAGCAGTAACCCTGCCCTGAGAGGTTCTTGTATGGGATCTCTGGTCAGTGGAGCTTTGGGAGCTTCACTTTGTGTTTCAGCTCCTGCAGTGGGGTGGGTTTCAGGATGTCTGAGATGACCTGGATGCTGCAGAGCATGGTCCAAAGGGAAGAAAACACCATTACTAATGAAGTTATGGTAAGGGCATGGCCACATTCCATGCAGTCAGCTCATTCTCCCCGTGGGGAGTGTCTGGCTGCCTGGGCTGTCAGTCAGTCAGCACGGGGAAGTGCTGCTAGAAACCAGGGGAAATGGAAGGTGGGTGAGCCACAGCAGCAGCCAAGGTGCTTGCCCAGGCAGGGACAGCTTTGTGTGGGGTGTTTGCAAAAGGCCCGGCCAGGCATTGTTTGGGAGAGAGGCGTGAGTGCGGGGGAGCCCGGGGTGAGACAAGGAACAGGGAGATCCCATGACAGCTTCACCTCCTGCCAGCGCTACCTGGAAGGCGTCTCGAGGGCTGCCAGGAGGGAGCTCGGCCCGAGGAGCAGTGCCGGCCCGCAGGAACAAGGAGGAGGTCAGTAGTGGGTGCAGCAGGAAGGACTGGAGCAGGACTGTTCAACAGAGAATCAAAGAGAGCAAATGACATCTGCCCAGTAGCAGCAAGCCCATGGAAGGGCGGGATGGGAGAGGCAGGAGGCAGTGAGAGAAGGATGATGATGATGATGATGATGATGATGATGATGATGATGTTTAGCGTTGGATGACCGAGGGCTGCAAGAGGAGAGGACCTTTAAAGGGACGGTGAAGAGGCAGCATGGGGTGAGGGCAGAGGAGGAGGGAGCAATGGCTGGGGAAGGTGGGGACGGCGGCATCCGGGCACGGCAGAAGAGGCCGGAGCAGAAGGGGTGAGAGCTGGGGCAGAGGAGCGGGGCGATGCCGGGGCTGCAGGGAGGGTGTCCCGGGTGCGGGGCTGCCCTGCGGGACCCGCAGCGAGAGGAGGGCGCCTGGGATGCTCCTGATGAGCAGCGCAGGGTCCGGGCCGTGACCGCGGCTCGGCATGTGCTGGAGCCGCGTTCCCAGCCCCTGCCAGCGCCAGGGGGCTCGGAGGGGGAGCGAGGGAGAGGGAGGGAAGGAGGGAGGGAGGGAAGGAGGGAGGGGAGCGGAGGGAAGCAGCGAGCGGCGCGGAGCCCTCGGCATCCAGCGGCAAGCGAGCGCTCCGGAGCCGCGGCTTCCTGGAAGCGGAGCCCGGCTGGGCGGCGATAAGCGGCGATAAGCGGCGGCTGTCCCGGCCCTCCCGGCCCTCCCGGCCGCGACAGCAGCCGCGACAGCCGCGACAGCCGCGACAGCCGCGACAGCAGCCGCGACAGCCGCCACGGCAGCGGAGCCGAGCCGCGCTCCGCGCCCGCCGGCCCGAGCGCAGGGGGGGCACAGGTAGGGCACAGGGCACACCTGGGCACAGCTGAGCACAGCTGGGCACAGCTGGGCACGGAGCGGGGCTGGGGGGGCGCGGGGCACCCGCTCCGCCCGCAGGGGAGAGCTGCGGTGCCGGCAGGGATATCACCTGGAGGGGACACGGACACCTGAGGGGGATGGAGTCACCTCTGTGGGATGCGGTCACCTGCGGGGCAGGAGAGCAGTAAGAGGGCAAGGCTCAAAGGATGCCGAGGCTCCTGCAGAGCTGCAGCCGCGCAGCCAGGCTCGGTAGCTTTCCGTCCGGGGTGAAGGCATTCCCGGCAGGAGACAGCCCGGAGCCCGGCAGGACCGCACCGGGCGGGGGCAGTGGGACAGCGAGAGGAGCAGGATGAGGTTTGTGCCATCCCGTAGAGTTTGCCTTTTGGAGGTGTTGCTGCATGAGCTGGTTGTGTTTTGGTTAACTCTCTTTGTCTGTGCAAAGATTACATTTTATTTGCCTTCTTTTTTTTTTTATTGCTTATTCGTGTAAATACAAGTTGAGGTTTTGGGTCACAGCCCAGTTACATTTTGATTCAGACAGAGTTTAATTTCCCCTTTTAAAAAGTGTTTTAAATAAGTTGGGCCATATAGAAGTAGAGTTGTTAATCAACCAAAGAAACTTGAAAGAGTTTGAAAAATAAGGTTATATATTTCTGGAGCCATTGCTTGAGTATTGAACCAGCACCAGTACTCAAACTCCTGATTCAGTCATTTCCGTTGTTGGGATCAAGACTTAATCTGTCCATACCTGTGTTTTCACAGCTGCAAAATGGGAATTACACCTATTGGAAAGTCCTTAATTAAAAACAAGGAAAGCAGAGGAAGATCATTTGCAAGGGTAGTAAACAGTGCAGAACGTGTCTGAGGGAATATTGCATGTTGGATGGAGAGGCTCACCAAGGATGCTGTGGCTGAAGGAGTGTGCAGGGAGCAGCTCCTCTCTGCTGTATTCCTGTGTCATGCAGTTCATCCCTTCCCTGCTGCTGCTCTGAATCCCTCACAGTGACTGACACAAGCACACGTGCAGCAGTGCAGGAAAAGCTGCACAGACCCTGCCAAAACGAGCTGGAGCTGTTGTGGAGTGGCAGGCACAGCCTCTGTATGCCCCAGGTCTGCAGAGAAACGTGGGAGATGCAGCACAAGTGAGCTGCACATTAACCTGGCAGCACTCTCCTTCAGTCAGAGCCTGGACACGCTCTGGGGGAGTGGAAGGGCTCCCCTGAGCTGCCAGGTCCTCATCCCCAGCCAGGGCTCTGTGCTGGAGGCGGGCAGCGGCTGCAGGGGCTTCTGTCAGCAGCACGGGCAGGCCAGAAGGGGGTTATGTAATGGATTCCCAGGGGACAGGGGAAGGATGGGATGGTTTCCTTCTGCCAGGACAAGGAGCAGCTGCACAGCTGCTCTGCAGTGCTCTCCCCAGCCCTGGGATCCTGTGGAGCAATGCAGGCAGGGAGCTGGGGTCCTGTAACAGCACATCCACCAGTGCCACTTTGCTCCCTGCCAAGCGAATGATTCCTTCACAAACGCTCCTGTGCAATATCCTCACAAGGAGTCTGAGAAATGGACTGGAGCCACCCTGGCTAGAAAGGGAAACCAGGCTCAGTCTGTGGGGAGGGCAAAGTTGTGATCCTCACTGTGATCCTCGTGTCTCTCAGGGGTCTGAGGAGTGACCATGCGGGGTTGCAGAGCACCAGGACAAGGCAGAGCTTCTGGCTGTAGAAACTTACCCAAGACAAAGCAAGGGAGGGGGAACTGTCCCAGAAGGGTTATTAATTTGTTCCATTTGGATGAAATAAATAGAAAGACTGGGATTGAAGGAGATCATTTCTGTAAAATAGTAGGTTTAATATTATTTGAATCTGCACAGTTGATCTTAGCCAAAGGCTGAGAAAGAGGGAGCAGACAGAGCTGAATTGTCCAGACTGCTGTTGGCCAGCGCTGGATTTTGGAAGGTGACTGGCTGGTGACAATCCAGAATTACAGACAGGGGCTGTGCACAGGACATCAGCCAGCCTTTGATGGCTACAGGTGCTCGGGGCCCTGGCTTCAGTTCCCATCCTCGGGTGCTGCCTCCAGAAGCACAAAAGGGACATACATATTTATGGAATACCAGGTTTTATCCACTTTTTTCAACTTTTCCATTTCTGCTGCCAGTTTATTCTCCCTGAGGACAGACTGCTTGAAACCAGTATGTCTTCAAAGATAGAATGCCTGAAAACTATTGTTTTTATTCAGTTCAACTTTTTAGGGCAAAGACTTGGTTTTCAGACAGACAAGGCGTTTAATCACCAGTAATTCAGAAGATCAGAACACTGAGATGATCTTGTCATTAATACAGAAATACCCTAAGTGTAGTTAGCAAACAGATTTACATGTAACTGCTCTAGATGTGAATTTAGCTGTTTCAAATTAAATAATAAAAACTATTTTATGGAGAACATATGCAACCATTATCGGGACAGTAACAGTGTCAGTGACATTTTATTGCTCATCCAATATGTTCTTTCCATGAATCCAGCCCTGATCTGCTTGATGAAGTAGCAAAAATCTACTTCCATTATTTCCATAATGCAAAATCTATTGGTCCTCAAGAGCTTGAAGGGCTGAGTGTTTTGGGAAAAAATTTTTCACTGGAAGGGTGCTCAGGGAGGTTTGGAGTGTCCATCCCTGGAGGTGTCCAGGGAATTCCTGGGGGTGGGGACAAGGTCCCACCTTGGATTGGTGTTCTGGAGGGATTTCCAACTTTGGTGATTCTGGGATTCTGGGAGGGGCAGCTGCTCATCCTGGGGCAGCTGAGTGTTGCAGACACTTGAAGGTTTTGGCCTGTGTGCTCCTGGCAGGTCAGGTGTGAAATGGTGATGGTGCAGCAGGGTTTGTGCAGTGCTGGAGATAAGAGATCAACATCAGTCTTGATCCATTGCACGTTGTGTTTATGATTAGGGGATGAACCTTGCTCCTCTCAGATGGATAATTTATTTATTTCACACAGTAAGGACAGCAGTAGCAAAGAACCCATAATTTTATTTAAAAACCCTGGCTTATAGACTGTGTTTTTCATGAGAGTTTTCTCCAAACATTGTTGAAATGCTTTAAAATTGCAGTTTTAATCTCTGCATGAATATCCACAGCGGATGCTGTGTGTGCTGGGGAGGAGCAGGGGTGAGCTGGGTACGTGTGCTCACAGATCCCTCTTGCTCCACGCTCCTGCAGACAGAACAACAACAAAACTTTCTTCTTGCAGGATAGTTAATGCTCTGGCCCACAATTACAGCACCAGATGTGTTGCCACAGAAACAATTTAAAGGGAGAAGGAATTGTGAGCAAATTGTCTTTCTTGTGGAAAGTGTTTGAGAGCCTCTCCTTGGTTTCCCTGTTTCTATCTGTGTGTGCACAGCAGAGAAGGAGGGACAATTTGCTTTTGTTTGGTACATCTGCTATTGGTTTAAAATTCTCTATACAGGGTTGAAAATTGAAAAATATTCTATTATGGGCATGACTTACGTACCTCAGAGACATTTTTTATTAAATCCTGATTCATTTTTAGAAACTTTTTTTCTTTAAAAATGTGCTGTGTGCTAGCGGATTTACTTACCTCCACTTGCAACATGCTTTGCAAAATATTTCCAGTCACAGTTGTTTCTGTGAAAGGGAGAAAACAGTTGACTTTATAGTTATCCCAGATTTGGATGCTGAGAATTAGGATCACATTCTCCTTACCAAAACTGACATGCTGATGAAAAGAGGGAATGTTTACAGGAAATATTTTGATTTAATCTTGCCTAGGAAGCCTTAAAGTAGCCAAAGCCCTTGATTTTAGCTAGCATTTCTTTTTCTCAAACCAGTGGATGCTCTATTCAACACACTCTTTTCTCAGCTGTTACGAAAATAACATGAATAATAATATGAAAAATTCTGAACAAAATGCAATGTGAATTAGCTTAACATGTCCTTTTGACATTTTTGACCACAGCAGAACTGCTTTCTCCTGCAGGTTTGCATTCTGTCTGGGGAGAGTAACAGGAGGAACATCCAGGAGGGTCCCAGCCCTGGCAAAATTTTAAAAAGGCCACAGTCCAGACATAAAGAGCCCTGTTTCCACAGCTCTTTGTGCTTCGTGCATTTGGGAGGTCTTTGTCCCTGCACATTTTGAAATACTGCTGGCTGTGGAACTGAAGGTTTATCTTACCAAAAGCCAAGGAGAAGTTTGGGTCTCTTTGGAGTGATGGAAAGATTTGCCATGTGCAGTCGTGTGCATGATGCTGCCCGTGGTTTGGCAGGGAATGGACACACAGGGTTATCCTGAGAAGCCTCCTGTCCTTATTTGTGTGTTTAGCATTCCCCTCTGTGAGAGTTAGGATTGTTAAATCTATTTTCTTATAGCCAGACTTACAACTGCCCCTGAGTCTGGAAATGCACAATTTATTCTCTTTTTCACTCATTCCCATACAAATCTGAGATCTTCACTTTTCCTTTGATGAAAATTCTTTCTGACAGAAATATATCCAGGTATCCCCGAGTCAGGAGCAGCTGCTTGTGCTTTAGAAAGCAGTTTTACCTTGTTCCAAGTGTCCTGCCAGAGCCTGGATTGCAGCCTCGGATCTCTGGAGCTAGGCTGAGTGCCATGTCCCACACTGGAGTCCTGGCAGCTCCACAGGCATCTACATCACCCAGCGAGATCTGCCAGGCCGATAAGAAACTCGTTTCTCTCTTGCATTCCTCCTGCAGGCTCAGCTCCAGCGCTGGGCGTGGGGGGAATGCAGAGCTTGGAGCTGCTGTGTGCCCAGCTTAGAGCTGAGCCTGCAGAGGGAACTGGGCTGTGCCTGTGCAGCCCTGGGACCCCCAGCTCTGCAGCCAGGAGCTCTCTGCATCCAGGAGCTCTCTGCATGCAGCTGGCTGCCCCAGGAGCTCTCTGCAGCCACCCTCGAGTTCACAGCCAGAGCCAGGCTGCCCTCAGTGAGTTACATCTCTGCTGTTTGATCCCAGGAGAAGCAGCTTGCTCTTTCCTTAGGCAGTGGAGCTTTCCCAGACAGGCACTGTAAACTGGAAATATAGGTACTTGTAATTTTCTTCAAAACCTCCTTTGGGCCTGAAATGTCTTGTGCTTGGTTTCAATCCAGTATTGACTAAGACTGGAAAGTGTGAATAATGTCAGCTCAGCTGTATTTGAGTTATTCAAATGAATTTTAAAATCATGTACTTTCCACTTACATTGTTCCATAATTCTTTGCACTTATATAACCTCTTTTTTATTATTGAAATTGCTACAGACTTGAAGAGGGAAATATAATTTTCCAATACTGGGCCTGAACAGATAAACAGGGAGGCAATTCCAAGGCCTCAGTGTGCTTTAAAATCTGAATGTTTCTGCTTTAATGTTGGTGTGAATAGGTTTGCACTTTTACTAGTGCAGAAGAAACAGCACCTCCATAACCTTCCCCTTCCCTGGGCACTGAATTTCTGAGATGTTTCCATTACGTAATTGAAATTTCTCAAAGAGAGTTTGGAAGATTTCTGCCGGTTGTAAGGCAGGATTTTGTTTGATGAGCTCTGTAAAGTTAAAACAGCAGGCCAGGCTTTTCCAGAGGGATGTTCCCAGAGCAGCTGTGTGAGCCAGCACTGCAGCCAGGCCATGTGGCTGGGACTCAGTCTGGACAGAAAGTTCAGTGGCTTTGCTGAAGTTTTGAAGGTGAGTCTTTCGTAGCAAGTTAGCTTGCTGGTTTTTAGAACGGCAGAGAAGAGAAGAGCATTTACACTGGGTGGGCCACGTGTGGAAATGCCTGGGTTTGGGTGCTGCAGTGACACACAGCGTTGTGTCAGTTTGTTGTAAATGTAACTGCACAATTCTTGGGGCTGTTAGTGCAGCACCAAGTGCCCAGATGGATGGAAAGGTGTCACCGTTGTCTGAAATGGAGCCCCAGACGCTGACCTGGAAGGTGAGGCCCCCTCTGAAGAGCCCTGACATACAGAAATGCTCCTCCAGTTGGGCGCAGCAGGCACTGGGACAATAGAGCTGCCCTTTGTGTAACTCTGCTGAGGTCATTGCAGCTCCTTCCTAATTCCACCGAGGCCGAGCTGTGCCTCTCCCTTTCTCTGAAGGGTTCACATGCCAATGTGTTGTGCAACAACATCATTTGTTAACGAATAAAGAAGAATTTAAATAACCTTAGAAAATCAGTCCGGGCATCCCAGCTGCCTGCAAACAAACAGCAGAAGTGCAAAACATTTAAGTAGAATGCAAAGTATCTCAAAATTGCCTGAGCTTGGGTTCTTCAGAAACAAAACCACAACTGTAAGGAGAACATGCTCTGCAGGAGAAGGCTCTGGGTGAGAACACACACTGCATCTTCTGCTAAGGTCTCCAGTCCAGACATCATTTCTGAGCTGTTTTCCCCAGGGCTGTAGTAACACATGATGAATCTTTTCCCCATGTGTGTATGTGAGAATTTGACTACTTTTAGTTTCATTTAAAGCAATAAGTGACCTGTAATTGTCAGATTATGTTTACAGTACAGTAAAACTGTATCTTCTTGTAAAATATCTGTCTTGAGGAAGCCAAGTCATATGGAGAGAGCTGCACGTTTCTGTCAGGACACCGAGCACTGCCTGCCCCTGCTGCTGTAATTGTGTCAGGCTGCATTTAGTCCTGGCTCTGCACTAGTGTCTTGCTGGAATGCCTTGTCAATATGTTTTCTACCTGAATGGCCCTTTCTGAATTTGGAAGGTAACCCAAGGGTGCCTTTCTGCCAGGTCCTGCTCTGTGCCCTGCCCAGGGCAGCTCTGCAGGATCCCCAGTGGGAGTTCAGAGGATCACTGACCCATAGATGCTGAGTAAACCAGTCCAAGGTCTAAGAAAAACTCCTTGTGATGCTGAAAAATAGGAAACAGCAAGCAGATGTGTTAGTTGCAGCAAAAGCTTTGGGTCCTCAGGGAGCAAACAATTGGGTTCAGAGGCTTTGAAGAAGTCTGAGACAGAGAGCTGATTGATTTCCCTGTGCACAAAGCTGAAATGCACTTTCATGAGTGACTCTCGCTGTGTTTGTTGATGGTATTCATAACATTTCAAGGGACCTTAAATTACACGAGCTTTTGGCCTAAATGTTGAAGTGGTTTGATCTTGACTGATCCTGCTGAGCAACTTCTGCTTAGCCCTTCCAGTTGTGTCTGCCTTTTTCTTCCAGGGAGCAGCTCTCGTGTGTTGGGCTGGGTGCTCTGGGGGCCCTGACACTTCCAGGAATTTGTTATCTCTGGCAGGGGCCCCGTCACTGTCACTGTCAGTCTCTGATAAGTGGCAAAGTAAACATGTTGCTGATGGGACAGTGCCCCTCCAGTGGCTGAGCACCAGCCTGATGCCATGGCACACTGCTCCTCCAGAGAGACATCCTTCTGCCACTCATTAATTGTTAAAATTGTCTTTGCTCTATGATTCTTGTTATGACTTACCTACTTCTTGCTCCCTTTTCATGTAGAGGGTTCAGTCACATTAGAGCCATCGCTTCCTAGTCTTGCTGAAACACTTCTGAAATGAGTGTGGCATTATTTAACTTCTAATGAGTATGAAAAGAGAGTTCTCACCGAACAGATTCTTCCCATTTTGTGCCCGTGAAGCGCCTGGCTGGAGCAGCAGTGACACCCCCAGGGCTGAGGGAGGGGTGTGGAGGCCAGGCAGGTCTCACCAGGTGGAGCACAGCCACCCTCCCCTGCAGATGTGTGCCACAGCTGCTCCAGACGTGCAGGAGCACAGCTCCTTCAGAAAGGCCACACGGAGCAGCCCTTGCTAGGATGTTCCTGAGGCTGGAGGAGGTTTAAGGGGCACTCCGGGAAGAGGCAGTCCCTGCGGATTTTGTAGAGTTTCCAGAGCAAGCGATGCCCAGAAGTCAGTACACAAGTTTGCCCCCTCTGATTTTATAACTTTCCAGAGAGTATTGCTGTAATTCTGTTTAGGCTTGAAACAATCCAAAGCTTTCTTCTAGGCAGGGCCAGACTGACTAAACTTGACTATCTGGTTTAAAAGTAAATGTAGTCCAGTTTAGACTGCATTTTCCTCAGCTGCTCAGTGCACTATTTGTATCCTAATGCACATTAGTCTTTCAGCTGTTTCCAAAGCCATCTCCTTTTGAATGTTTAATATCTAAGAACCAATTAGTTCCATTTTGTTTTCCTTGGATAGTTTGCAATTAAACGTTCTTTTAAGTGGGCTTTATTTAGCTAATTCCATCACAAAAATAAGCTCTAAGGGAATGAAGAGAAGTTCAAGCTAGCCAATGTTTATTTTTATTATTAATAATTTATATTATGGGAGTCCCCAGAGGAACCAGGGCCCCACTAAACCCAGTTTCCTCTGCATGTAATAACTGAGTCTCACAAGAGTTTATTCAGCAGAAGATTCCTTTTTGCTGCTGTGCTCAGTGCAAGGGACCTGCTCCACACTGCAGGGAAAGGACTGATGGAGAGCACATAAAACCAACTCAAGAATCATGGTTTAAAGAAGCTTAAGCTAAGCACCAGAGGGAGAATCTGATGCAGCTTTTCTAAAAAAGAAAAAAAAGCCACACTTATGTATTTTTCCAGCCTGAGTGCCAAGTCATGACCTCCAAGGTCTTGTTGATCATCTCTGAAGTGATGGCAGTGCTCCCAGTGGCTCTGAGGGAGCGAGACTGGGCAGGGGAGTGATGGTCCTGAAAATCTTATCTCCTTCTGAACGAGCAGCAGGGGACTCTGTCTGTTTCAAAAACACACTGCTGGGCAGAGTTAGTTTAAAAAATGCTCTTGTTAAGTCAGATTTCTATCAGGAGTTATGGTTGTCACAGCCTCTGATCCTCAAGAACTGGTCTGCTTTAGGTTTTACAGAAGTCTTGAGAGCAGCAGCTGAGTGCCCTCAGAGCTGCTGAATGCAAAGGGGCAGAGGCAGCCCTGGCTGTGGGTGGGTTCAGTGGGGGCAGAGCAGAGCCCTCCCCTGGGGCACCCTGCTCCCTCGGGGGGCTCAGGGGCAGGAGGGCTTTGGGGTGAGCAGGGCTGTGGGGGCAAGTGCAGCCTTTTCCCCCTGGAGGAATTCCCATCCTCCTCCCCTTCCCTTCGTGGGAGCATCAGGCTCTGCAGCAGCCTTGCCATGATTCCAAAGGCAGGAGCTGGGCACTTTTCCTGCCCACACTGCTGCCCTCACTAGCTCACTTGGAGGGGCTCAGACATCTGGTTCCAAGTACAGCTGTGTGCTTAGGATGGGGGCTTTTCTCTCCACAGAAAAATCACTAAATCTGGCCATTTAAGACACAGATTTTATAGGAGCTAGAGCTGGGCTGTGCAAAGTTCACCTCATTAAAAACAAGCCCAAACCAAATAAAAGCAGAAAATAAGAGTGTAAAAAATGTGGGCCGTGAATGTCAGAGCATGTGTATTAGGAACTGGGAAGAAGTGAAGGAAAAAGTACAGATATACCCACATCCATTCAAAGTTCTTGGGTTTTTCCACAAGTAAATATTTGTCTTTAAAGCTTAAACATTTTGTCCCTTCTATTTCTCTCTTCTATGAAATTTTATATACTTTTTTTTTTCAGTGTTCTTTGGGATACTGATCCTAACCTTCTTTATTTCTGTGGCACAAGATTATCTTGGTGACGTTTATGGGAATAAACCATGGTTGCCACGGGAAGTGGCTGGATGGTTCAATTCCTAGAAAAGGGACAGTTCTCCTGGCCAGACAGGTAAATGACACAGGGTGTGTCCCACCTCAGGAGCACCAGGCTGCTGTGAGTCACAGAATTCAGCTTTTGGAGATAACAAATTACATCCCCACGCTGCTGGACATCAGCCCTCACTCCTGCTGGAGGTTTGTCATCTGATTTGGTTAAACACCCTTCCCAGTGTATAATCAAAGCATTTATCTGTGCAAAGTGGTGCTGCCCTTGAAACTGAGCCTTGGGACTTCGCACAGCCCTAAGGCTGAGATCAGGGACCTTCCTTATGCCACCATTAACCCGGAGATGGCTCCAGCATGGGAAGGGTGGCTGGAGACAGGACCACACCTGAGGAGGGTTTGCAGCACACAGTGAGGGACGGGCTGGGAAACCAGGGACAGGGGGGGCTGTGTGGCACAGGGACAGTGGGGGCTGTGTGGCACAGGGACAGGGGGGGCTGTGAGGCACAGTGGGGTCTGTGTGGCACAGTGGGTCTGTGTGGCACAGTGGGTCTGTGTGGTCTGTGTGGCACAGGGATGGACCTTGGGCCCATCACTGATGAGGAGGAGTCTCTCAGGGCCAGAGCTGCTGGGATTCAGTGCCAGGCGAGTTTCCTTTGTCCCAAAGACAGGAGCCAGTGCATCGTTGTGAACTGCTCTGCCCTGGCTCCCTGTGCTTCCCCAGGCTGCAGTTTGGGTGCTGGGAGTGTCCTGGCAGGCAGGCTGAGCTGGCCCTGCAGGTCTGGCAGCTCTGGGCACCAGCCTGGCAGCTGCCACCCCCTGAAGCCCCAGTGCAGCCCTGGAGGGTGTCAGCAAGCTGGAAACTGGCACCAGGGCAGCTCCTGGATCAGCTGGGAATGTGGGAGCTGTGCTGTGCCCCCAGCAGGGAAGGCACAGGGCTCCCAGCCCGGGGAGCTGGGCACGGAGCGGGGCTGGGCTGGGCCACGGGCACTCACTGCAGCTTTTCTGGTCCAAAAGGCCACAGGGGGGTGCACAGCCAGCTGGGAC